CCTTCAAATATCGCATAACATTTTTAATCGCCTTCCTGTGCTTTATATGTGGATTACTTTGGAACCCGCTAATAAGTCCGGTCTCTTCCCCAACATAGCATACATCAATGACCAAATGCGCTTCTATATGAGATTTTCTGCATGGCCTCTTTTTCTTCTGAAGTTGTGGGTTATATGCCTAGGCTTAACTTGGCCTTCTTATCAATGGGTGTTAATATTGGCCGACAATTTTCCATTTGAAAGCTTTCCAATATTTTCTTGCATTATTTCTTTTGGGATAATTGAATCGTGCTCTCTCTTCTATTTTTGATGATTTTGATTCGCAAAACATATGAAGCCTCTCTAAGATCTTTTATATTGAAGTGCCGTGACAAGCAAGAGTCATTGAACTATTGGCAATCAACATGTCATCCACGTAAAGGTAGATGAATAAAACGACATTCTTGACAAATATACAATAGTCTTTTTGGTTAAACTAATTGTTAATAAGGTCTCTTGAAACTTAATGTACCACTGCCTTGATGCTTGCTTAAGGCCATAAAGAGATTTCTTTACACACTAGGTTTCCCTTTCCCTTCTTTATGAAGCCCTTTGATTTATTCTTCTAACTCATTATTTAGAAATGTAGTCTTAACATCCATCTGGTGTAGTTCGAAGGCGAAATGGGCTGCTATAGCTATAAGGATCCTGATGGATGGGAACTTAGCTACAGGGAGAAGGTTTCATCATAGTCTATTCCTTCTATCTAGATACACCCCTTGGCTACTAATCTAGCTTTGTACTTTTCTAAATTCCCTTATGAATTCAGTTTCTTCTTAAAAATCCACTTGCGGCCTATTGGTTTTCTATCAGGAGGTAAACTAGCTGAGGAAGAAATTGCAAATTGATATGACAAGGTGGACGAATTTTCCATCTCCATGGAAAAACACTATTATCTTCCATTCCCCTTTTGGAGCTTCTACTCTCACATAGGGTTTCTTGTTTCGACAATTCAAAAGTGGGAGAAGGTTTTTTACTAATAAATCATCGTTCAAAATCATTCCATTCTATATTTCTTACTCTATCAAAGCATCGGGCTTCTAAATTTTCATAGCCCCCCCCCCCCATCGGAATTTTTTCTAGAGAGCCTGCTGAATAAGTTTGATGGATTCTATCATTTCAATGATTTGTACTAAATAAAGAGCTAATGTGTCTCCTTTTTGCCATTGGACTTCCCAATCAAATTCATTGTAACACTCATACTGATCGACTTTACGAAGATCCCATGGGATTCGGGAAGCTTGTAACATTGGTCTTGATAAACCCCAGTTTTTTGCTTCCTCTTCACCAATAATGCCCACTCCTTCAAGTTCTTCTAGTTTCTTCTTAAAAATCCACTAGCGGCCTATGGCTTTTCTATCAGGAGGTAGTTCACTAGGTCCCAAACTTGGTTAGATTGATTTAGTTAAGTTCATCAATCACGATTTCTTGCCACTATTCCTTTTTTGCACAAATAATAGCTTCTTGGTAGGCACGTGATTCATGTAAAGATTCTTCTTCAATTCTCTCATAACATTCTCCTAGGTAACTGTAGAATTTAGGTCTTCTCCTAATTCAGTTACTTGTCCTTGGACGAGGTGGTTCAAGATCTTGGGCCTGACTTGTGTCACTAATCATCTCATAGAAATCAAGTTGCTTACGAGTGGCACGTCCCTCAAGGAACTCGTCCTCAAGGTAATGGGCATCCCTAGTTTCTAGGACAACCCCTATGTTAGGGTTGTAAAACCGATATCCCTTACCTTATGGTGGGTATCCAGATGCACTTACGGTTTTGGGTTCTAATTTTGTCCTATTCTGATGTAGTATTAGCAAATGGGCAGAGCATCCCACACACTTAAGTGGTCAAGTGATGGAGCACTTCCAGTGAAAATCTCATGATGGGGACAACTTTTGTGGAGTCTGGTTGAAAATGTAACCAGTTGTTTAAACGGCTTCCCTCCAGAATTCGAGGGAGAGCTTAGCATGTTCTATCATGCTACTCACTATTTCCACCAAGTTCCTATTTCGTCTCTCGGTTACCTCATTTTGTTTGGGAGGGTAGTGCATAGTATATTGGTGTACGATACCATGCTCCGTGCAAAGCTCTTTGAATAGTTGTGAGGAATATTCTCCACCCCTACCGGTTCTAAGAATAATTTTTTGGTTTTTTTGGGGTTTCTACCTCGGTTTTGTACTGTTTAAACGGTCTAGGACTTCTGCTTTTTCCCAAAATAGGTATTCATGGCTGAAATAGAAGTTGTCATCTATGAAAGTGTACCTCTTGTGACCCTTAGTGGCCACATTCATAGGTCCATAAATATCACTATGGATAGCTTTTGAAATGCCATGAGCTCTCTGATCTTTCGCAAAGGATTTCTTGACTAACTTTCTTTGAAAACATGATTCACGAACTCTAGTTGAATCTCCATTCAAGTTTTTCAAAAGTCCTCCTCTCTTTAATCTCTCCATTCTCTTATAGTTTGTATGCCTCAATCCTATATGCCATATAAATGCTTCATCATCATCATTGTAATGTTGAAAAACATAAATAAAGCTGAAACACAAAATATTTTTGAAGTTCTTCAAAAAGCTCAAAAACACTCAGAAGTACCTCTAGAAGTGGATTGGTACCAACGGTCAAGAAGAAAGTGACTGTCGGGGCGCTCCACCCGAGCCAGTAACCGTGATCCTCGACTATCTTCTCTAACCAACCGAACATGACCCTTGACCTAGAGTTTCATGCAGGGGTGCATAATTGGCTCGTCAAAGTCGGCCAGTAAATAGTTGAACTACAGTCCTGGAATTTGGATTATAGGTTCCTGCAAAAGAGCAAGTCACATGGACATATCACTATAGTCCATGGGGGACTCTCTGTGTACATTTACGTGTATCCCTTTGCAGGATTTGCTTCCCAGAATGCGGCTATCATATGTACATATATCATGCAGAAGCATTGGAGGGTTTTTGTGTACTATTTGAGCATCCACATGATGAAGATGGTATACCATCCATTGTTGTAACTACTGGTTTAATTTACCAATCTCTCCTTAAGTTTTGCATATTTGTATGCAAAAGTCTTTTCTCAATCTCTCAGTGGGTTGATCCATATTTTCTATACTTTGTTGTGACTGCTAGTTTAAATCATTTCCATGACTATTGAAGCATGCTCTGGTTACATCATGATATATGATCTTCTGAAGCTCTGATACCACTGATGTTGGGGGGAGAGAGAAAGAAGATACCACCCCAATGAACACTTCATGGGCCCAAAAAAGGCTTCTATATTTTTTTTACTTCCAAACTTATCATAAATAAAAGAAGACTTTAACCTTAATTGGATCTCATGTAAAACCATTGCTGTTGGAATTAGGAGCAGGACTAGGAGCGGATTTAGATTGGGGGTTCACAAAAGGCTAGAAGACCTTAGTGGTTTGGACCATTGTTTGCACAATGTATATGTTAGAGATCTTGATCCCAACCTTTTGGGGTTCTTGATCCCAACCTTATAGAGTATATAGAATCTAGGACTACATATGCTCTTTAAAGAAGGAATTGCTTTATTTATTGCCGACAAGCAATGCAACTATACTAAAAGTATAGTGGCATTGCCAATTGGCTATAGATTAAAAGAAAAAAAAAATCATTAGTTTGGTTGTTATTTTGGTCTTTAAGGCAAGATTCCTAATAGTGGGGATAGAGATTCCAAAATTTTAAATTTGTGATCCCTTAAAGATTCCTTTCCTAGAGTGCTGGATCGAGATTCTAGAGCAGGATTGCCATCTAGCTTGGGAGATCCCAACAACTATATGTAAAACATCAAAATAAATGCAACTTCTAATTAAATCCTACTGTCGACTATTTCCATCCAAACATATATAAAAATAAAAAGAAAGGACTACTTCTAAAATACATCTCACTTTCCTAATCTCAACATAAAAATAAAATATTCCTACTCTACTTTCCTATCTTTATCTCTATGGGTGCATCACTTCATATGAGGTCTAGGAACGACCTGGATGTCGCCTTCTCTCTAACAAAATGACAATCTACTTCAATGTGTTTTTCTTTCATGAAAAATGGTTTTCATTGTCTCTGGATGGCTGCTTGATTGTGTCAATACATCCCTATGGGATACTTTTATCTTGAAGTTAAGAACCCTAAATAATGCTCATCCAACCCGAGGTCCATATCCCTCAATAATTCCTTTCGCGGGCCTTTTCCCATCATGGATGCAGTAGAAACCCTTGCCCCGTATCCCCTGATTGCCTCAACTGTTTCATTGAATTAAATCATCAGAGTTAAGTTCAAGTAGTGTCTCTACTGTCCTGGAAACTAATTTGTTGTTTGCTTGAGAACATGATGAGCTTACTTTTGGTACTTTAATACCCAGAAAGTAGCATAACAGGCCTGCGTCTCGTACATTAAAGACCCACTATGGGCTCTTGTATGTGAGCTCCACTCTATGGGCTCTTGTTATCCTCTGCAAGAAATATGCTTGCCAAAATTACAACTGTTCTTTTGCTCAGCCTGCTACAATGCCATCATTGTTTCTGGTTTTACACCCTGTTGTTTAACAAATGTAGAGCCAAACTAAAACGGTCTGTACTTAACTAAGATTTCCTGACTAGGCTCTTGAAGTTTGCTTCAACCCATATGTTCGCTTATCAAATAAAACAAAAAAAGAAGGGGAAAAAATGAAGTTGTGTTTCACTCTGACCTACTAACAAAAATAAAAGTGAATATATGTTAGGTCATCAGGCATGTTTTCTGCTGATAGGTGATGCTCATGGATATACTCTTGATAGACAAAAGTGAAATTTCATAAATGAAATTTAGAGTTGGAACTCCAATTCATAATTGGAATAACGTATTGACCTTGAGTAAATTTCCTGTGACTATAGAAGCAAATCTGTCAAAAAGATCTTATTATGCTTTGACATGTTCAAATTTGACTTTTGTACATCTTGGACTATGTTCTGCAGCTTAAACGTGTATTCCCACAGAAGAATCTACCCCCAGCCCCACCAAAGCATGCTTTTCTAAGGATAAACTCAAGTAGGCAACACATTGAAGAGGTGAAGTTTCCAAGTGTTTTGAACTTATTATTGGATGCAAAATTAATCTTCTTGTGCAGAATTAATCACTGTCACATAAGGTGCTGTTCTTCTTTATTTAGCTAGCTGCTTATGAACATTGAAATTTTTAAGTTCCAGTTGTTGGGTTTGCATAATAATTGTTTTTCTGATTGTTCAGTTAGAACATGTTGGTGCAAGTAGTATTGTGTTGGTAACGTATGTATCTATGTATGCACTCATCCTTGCTTTTTTTTATTCTTTATTTCTGTATTCATCTTACTATTTTTTCTCTATTACGGACAGATGCTTGTCATTTTTCTGTTTTAGTAAATTGCGACAAGCTTTGAATCTTTTATTAAGCCTTTGGTTGGTTGAAATACAGGGACTTGTTGCTTAAACTGAATTAATAATGGAGATAAGTCTCCCAGCCATTCACTGGAGACTTGATGAGAGACTCAATGGGCTTTAAGGTGTTGTGGTTTGTGGGGGTGGGGGGTTGGAGGAGGGAAAGGTTCATGATTGGTTTTTGTTGAATTGGTTATACTGGACAATGTAATGGTTCATCTGAAGGACTAGACAAAGGACTGGCAGCATGCATAACTTTTGCTGGGGTTAGGAGATGTGGCATGCTCTGTAGACGAGCTTAATTTCGATGGAAGGAGTTTAATGGATTTTGATAGTTTGTTCTTTTGCAATTTGGAAGGCCCCGGGTTATGGACAAGTTGTGGAGGCCGCATCTCGGAGATCATTTCTTTGGATGGTGAAGATATTAAAGAAGATGTTTTGGGACTTATTACTTTCTGACAAGTGGATGCATTGTGGATTGTTCGTCTATTCTATGCATCATAAATAAAATTCCTGGGAATCATCTAATCATATTGTTTAACAGCCATAGCAATTTCATAGTTGAGATCAAGGGGTTTCGTAGGCTATTTTAGATGAGGCGTCTCATATGAAGGCAAGATAATGTTGCTTCTTTTGATTGTTGCTTAGTAATCGAGGTAATTGCCTTCTATAGAAGAGTGACTAATGGGGATTCTTGTTTTCCATCTATTTCTTAATCTGCTCCATAGATTTACACCTTCATAGGCTTAATTGTAGTGGATAAGTTGCAAATGTACTATTGATATTGATAGAATTTCATTTCTAGGGAGAGCTTCTTGATCCATAGTTTGGATCCTTGTTTGATTTCTTCACTAAATAAATCACTTAGTTTTAGAGGAAATCCATTTTTCTTTTTTTGAACATGATGAGTTTTGATTGCTTTGGATATTAAATACATCTTACAACAAAATTGGGGCAACCCACGTGTTTGGTGCTCAAACATGTAAAAAGAAGTATAGACTCACACAAACCCAAAAATGGCATGTACAAAAACAGTTTAGTTGCCTCGACAACAAGCAGCAGGTTATGTAGTGAGACTGGGGTGGGTATAGTGGGAGTAGTCCTCATTGGCAATATGGGTTAGGCTGAGGCCATCTGATACCGTTGGTTCCCCTGGAAGCCCCATCCTTCGAGTGTGTCAGCTAGTGTTTGGCCTTCCAATGAGCATTGTTAAATTCCTTCGTTATCTAAGTTTGGGACCTAAGTGTCCTAATTATATTTGTATGGGCACTTTTGTTCATATTATAAATTCTAAGAAATTATAACGTTGAGAGGTGCGTGAACGTGGGTTGAACATCATGTCTTTGTCTTTCCTCATGTTCCTCACATTTCTCTCTTCTCTCTCCTCTCTTTCTTTCTCGTTTCTCTCTATATTCTCTGACATTGATCAGAGTTGATCCTTTATGTTTCTTGAATCATTTATTTCTTGAATTCTTTGTCTTTTCATCTTCTACTTTCCTTTGATCTTCTCTCTTTTTAACTGCAGTTATGTTCGTATGGATCAAGATCTACTAAGATAAGAAGAGAGAAAGGAGAAATATGAGAAACATGAGAAGAAAGAGAATGATGTGAGGTTCAACCCACCCTCACGCACCTCTCTGCCGTATATTCAAAATTTATGATATGGACAAAACTGCCCATATAAATATAATTAGAACACTTAGGTCCAAAATTTAGATAACAAAGGAGTTTAACACTATCCCTAAATTTCACATATGGAGTAGACATTTGCTTACTAGCAACTTTCTCTCCGATAAAATGACAGTCTACTACAATATGCTTGGTCCTTTCATGAAACACTGGATTACTAGCTGTATAGGTGGCAACTTTTTTATCGCAATACATCTTCATAAGTTCAACAATAGTAAAGCCCATCTCCTGCATCATTGTTTTCAGCCACATCAATCACATGTAGTGTGCGCCATTGCTCTATATTCAGCCTCGACACTAGATCTAGCCACAACATTTTTTTTCTTACTTCTCCATGTTACCAAGTTTCCACCAATGAATGGACAATAACCTGTGATAGAATATAATTATGCACCTCAGCCTTATATTTTATTAAAAATTATGGTATGGACAAAACTGGCCATACAAATATACTTGTCTTTGGTCCAAACTTAAATAAAAAAGGATTTTAATACTTCCCCTCAAGTTGGAGCATAAATGTTATCCATGCCAGCTTGGAACAAATTGTTTGGAACATGTTACAGCCAAGGCCTTTGGTGAAATTGTCTGTTAGTTGATCTTCAGATTATACATACGAAGTAGGCACTTTCTCACTAGTAACTTTCTTTAGGATGAAATGATAGTCTACTTCAATATGCTTAGTCCTTTCATGAAACACTGGATTATTGGCTATATAGGTGGCAGCTTTGTTATCACAATACATCTTTATAGGTTCAACAACAATAAAGCCTGTCTTTTGCATCAATGTTTTCAGCTACATCAATTTACATGTAATGTGCGTTATCGCTATATGTTTAGCCTCGACACTAGATCTAGACAGAATATTTTGTTTCTTACTTCTCCATGTTACTAAGTTTCCACCAATGAATGTACAATAACATGTGGTAGATCCTCTGTGAGATGGTGATCTTGCCTAATCAGCATTTGAGTAACTTTCAATGGTGAAATGACTATTTGGATTGTAAATCACACCTCGACTTGGGGCTCCCTTTAGATACCTTAAAATTCTACAAATATCTCAGTGAGAAATCCTCGGAGCATGCATAAATCGACTAACAATACTAATGCAAAAGAAATATGAGGCTCGGTGATGGTCATATAAATAAGCCTGCCATTCAGTCTTTTGTACCTTTCTGGATCCTCAAGGGGGCATTTGGGTACCTGGAAATCTATTACATGGCAATAGATTACAAGAAAATATAATATTTCCATTGTTTGGGTACACTTTAATAGTAAGGAAATGGAAAGAGATTATCTGAGATTAACCGAGATTTCCCCAAAAATCACGAAACCAATTATGCACGGTGAGCGGTGAAAAATCTATTCTGTGCCTTGACGGGTAACCTTTGGGATATCTTTCGCACGCGTCTCTCTCTGCCCTATCCCCGTTTAAAAAAATGCCAACCCACCATTTTCCCTCTCTCAAACTCGTCTGAGGAACTTACCAAAGCGACGCTTCTCTCTTCACTGGTAATCCTTGCTTTCTCTCATCTTGAGCCATAATAACTGGTTTACATAGCTCCCTCCCTCTCTAAGCCCGTCTCCTCTCTCTCTTGAGCTCTAATAACTGGTTTGCATAAGGTGCTTCTTCCCTATCTAAGCCCGCTCCCTCTCTCTCTTGAGCCCTATAACTAGTTTACATAAGGTGCTCCCTCTCTCTTTAACCAGTTATTTTGGTGTGGATAAGCCCTATCTCTTTTGTCTCCTCCACTGCCTCAAACTTTTCAACTGCAATTACCAAACTTTAGTATATTAATCAAATTTCTTCCCATTTTTAACTTGTACCATAGAGATTTTGAATTTGGTATCATAAATTTATTGCTTATTTGAAATTATATAGAGAAATTTGAAAGACTTCTATAAAACATAAATAAAAATAAGGCTATCACAATAAAAATATGTTATTCCAATCATATTATTCCAATGACTTATCATGTTGAAACCAAAGTCTAATCATGTTAGAAGACATGTGATTCCATGTAAGTACCAAAGGCATGGAAAATAAGTAGGAAATTGTGTGATGATGACTTTAGAATGGTACAAGTTATTATTAAAAAATCTTTTTGGAATGGTGATGATATTATTATTAGAAAATCTTTTTGGAATGGTGTGATGATGACTTCAATTCTGCATTTCAGTGGAGTTTTGTGAAAAAAAAAGAAAGGAATGATAGTTTATACAAGTGCTGGTAAAATGTTGGTAATGCATTTCCCGTATTTCTTCCACAAATAGCCAAACAGTAGCAATGTATTTCCCAGGTTGCATCTAAATACTACCCAAACAATAACGATCCATTTGCGGGCCATTTGGATACCTGGAAATATATTTTTTGTGAAATATATTACTGGTGTAATCTGCGTAATGCATTACCTGCAAATGGATTGTTACTGTTTGGGTAGTATTTAGAGGCAACGTGGGAAATACATTGCTACTATTTGGCTATGTCTGGAAGAAATATGGGAAATGCATTATCATCATTTTACCAGCAATTGCCTATAAACTATCATTTCGTTCTTTTTTTATCACAATATTCTACTGAAATACAGAATTAAAGTCATCATCACACCATTCCAAAAAGATTTTCTAATAATAACATCATCACCATTCCAAAAAGATTTTATAATAATAACTTGTACCATTCTAAAGTCATGATGACACCATTTCCTACTTATTTTACCTGTCTTTGGTACTTACATGGAATCACATGTCTTCTAACATGATTAGACTTTGGTTTCAACATGATAAGTCATTAGAATAATATGATTGGAATAACATGATTTTATTGTGATAAGCCTTATTTTTATTTATTTTTTATAGAAGTCTTTCAAATGTCTCTCTATATAATTTCAAATAAACAATAAATTTGTGATACCAAATTCAAAATCTTTATAGTGAAAGTTAAAAAATGGGAAGAAGTTTGATTAGTA